AACCAATCCATTCTTACAGTGTACAGTATTTAACATTCACATTTTTGGCGCAAATACTTGGCTATTTCAATTCTTTGTCTGCCAAGGAACTGGAATGTATTCTATGTTAGTAAAAATACGCAGGTGATTATAGAAAATCTCGCGCGCTGATTGGTCAAGAAACTCACACTATCGCACGATAATCACTTCGAGCGAAAATCCAAAATGGCGGCCAGCCGCTTTGTTGCTGTTACCGGAAAAAATGCCTTTAATCTTCTTTTTTTTCCCTTTTTTTGAAAGAATCACCTGTGTATTTATGCTAAAACAAATATTTACCTCGCCGCTCGAATACTCGCGTCTCGGTAAATATTTCCCAATAATCACTGAAATAAGATGTTATGAAAGTAATACGTGTTTAGTAATATGCACCTGCAATCGCAGTTCTGATTGTTGAGACGTTGCTCCATACTCCATATCCTACTTGCTTGATGGCCTTTATTGAGACATTGTATTCAGTGTATGGCTTTAAGTCGGTCACATTATAACTCAGATCATCGCCAATAACTGTAAATATTCTGTTTTCCACTTTCACTAGGTATCCAGTGATATGGTCAGTAGGACTGCATTTTTCGTACGTCCATATCAAATTTATTGAACGTTTGTTAGGAATAAATTCCATACGAGGTGGTTCTGGTGGGAAAACATTAACAAGTTTGAAACGCAATCTTAATGAAGTTGGTTCTCTTTTCATTATTTCTTTTGAAAAMCTCGAACTTCCAAATCTTTATTATATAAAGAAATGGCTTTTTTTTAAAACCTTTTTCTATGATGGTCATCGATTGTCGTCCAAAGAATGTCGTAAATCGGCCAAAACATGCTGCCTAGAAACATCACCGTTAGTATCGCTCTTCTCTCCGGATCACTGACACACTCTTAATAAAAAAGCGTACAGGTAGATAGGAAACATATGCCTAACTAATTCAAACCGATTAGAGCTGTGATCCGTGGTCACACATGGACTGTATAGCGACCGCCAGAAACGCATTCACATGCTTTAGTTCTATCCCGTTGAGCTGCGCCACTGCTGTACTTGCGGTGGTGATAAGCGGTTGCAAATGGCATAATGATATGCTCATCGATCGACACTCTCACAAATATAACTAAGATCTAAAGGTTCACACATACTGATGTGCGCCTTAGCCACTACTGTACAATTTAGTGCATAATGATATGCTCATCGATCGACACTCTCACAAATATAACTAAGATCTAAAGGTTCACACATACTGATGTGCGCCTTAGCCACTACTGTACAATTTWAGTGCTTTACAAAAATGAGGATTGGGAAAACCACGAAAAATAGAGGTAGCCGAGCACTGTTTTAAATACTAAAAATACTAGAATGCCGATGCAAAATACTTACCTTGGTTAGTAACGTAAACATTGACTCTCATTGTCTTGTGTTTATGATATGCCACTGGTACAAATCGAATGTACCTAGCCAATTGAGGGTCTGTAAGATCATGACGTACTACACTGTTAGAGTCGGTGTTTCCTTTGAAGGACTGAAAAGTAAAATCATTAATAAAAAGATTGTGAATTGGGATGAATAGAAACGATTGATGAAACGGATTCGCTTTGTTTTTGTTTTTTTTAAACAAAGCGAATCTGCAGTAAATGCAGTAAATATATAAATGGCCAGAACCCAGGACAAGAATCCTTTGTTATAAGGATGATATTTTGGCGAAGAACGAAAACAACTATTATTTTATCATATCTAATTTTAAAACCCATGTCAAACATTTACAAACTTCTTTATTTTTCATTGTTTTTGAAATTACCTTCAAATTTCCAAATTCATCTTTATAAGTATACCATAGTGTTATGTTATTTGTTGCTAAATACAGCTTGTATTTTGTCACCCATTCTCTATTCGCAGTGCGACCACTTCCTTGTGTTGCTACAGCAGTAATAACACGTGGAGTACCGAGATCAATCTGCAGGTAATCATCAGGATTATAATTATCACTTGATTCCCATCCATATCTGCCATATAGTATGGCATTATGAGGTTTGTATCGAACATCATCTGAGATGCTTGGGTTTCTATAATATGATAAGGCTGTGTAACTGCTGTCTGATAGATTCAGATTTCTCTCCTTTCCAACAAGAGATTGCTCTGGACATCCTAATGCAACCAATAAACATAAAACATTTATAAGAAAACAACATAGCGTACTGATCGTAGCCTAGTTGATGATGAGGCTGTGTAACCTCTGTCAAGTAGTTTAAAATAGCTATATGTTGATTCCCGAACAGCGTTGGCTACTTTCTCATATAAAATTTGTTTTTCGTATTTTTACTTTCTTTCTATTTACTCAGGATCGGCGTAGCCAGGATTTTACCTTTGAGGGAGGCGGTAAAAGGGAAGGGGGGTGTCAAATACCGATTCCAGAAACATCGGTAATTGTAAGTCGCGTGAACCTATTACGTGATTGCCTAGGTGTTTARGTTTCTACTGCGTGATGATGACTTTCTTGGATCACAGCTGCTGATTGAGATGATGACGGACACGTTTATCGATAAGCTTTATTCGAGATGACTATCTTAAGCTTATGTATAGACTTTAATCAGCATCAATATGCATGAATATAGACTGGAGATGAATGAGTAGGTGTTGCCCGTTACAAATAGACAGTGGCTAGGTTTGGTTTATATTCAACTTGACGATTTCAAAATTGTTGACAGCCAATATTTTTTTAGTTTTTCTTACCACGATTGAGTAATAGCTATAGAGCAAACATAAGTGATTTATTTCTGTTGTATCTTACCATACTCAATGTCTTTCCCAGCTGCATAAGGTCCTTCCTTGACTGTAGTCGCACTTATCTTGTATGATAGTATTCCATTCTTTGTAACATTGATACTGTAGGTGAGATCAGCTGATCCACTGATCTTGACTGTCTTGTTATTGGATGTATCCTTGTTATAGTAATATACGATAGTGTACTTCCTGATGATGCCATTAGGGTCTCGTGGTCTATCCCACGTGATAACAACACTTGGACCAAGTGGATGTTGTGCAGGTATCAAAGTACCAGTGACATTTACTGGAGCAGAAGGAGCTTAAAGAAAGAAAAATACAGTACTTCTAATCATTGCCTTATTTTTGGCACTTGATTTTGTTTACAGCCTTTTAGTAGCCTTTTAGAATCTCCATTCTTTCTTTCGCCTGAGGGAAAAAGTCCTCCTCTGCTCGGGCGTAAAGTTTTACCGTTTCAGACCACGTTTCATTCTCTTTAGAATAAGATTATTTGTTTAAATTCACATTCATGTGTCTTCTTTGTGTGCAACCGAGCGCAACCATTAAACAAAGAAATGATACGCTATAGAATGAAACTTACTGAAGATAAAACTTTCTATGCACATGCCAACCCTGGTGACATAAATGTCTGGGAGGAGAGACTACATACAACATGCTCTCGATCAGCTGTCGTCTTGGTCTTACGACAACAACCTTACCTTAAACCTACAGAAAACCAAATATGTGCTAATGTCCACTCAACAACTTGCGCGTGCTCATCTGCTCGATGACTACCAAGCCCACCTGTCTAGCTGTCAATGGACAAGTGCTAGAAATGACTACTTCAACTCGTCTTCTTGATACTGAGATTCATAAACGATTGAAGTGGAAAAATGATATCAACTCAACGATCTCTAGTTGCTATGTGACTTAAAATGTTCTTAGAAAACTGAAAAACGTTTTTCTATTTCACACAAGGAAACAGTTAATCAAATCTCTTATTTTGTCTAAAATAGACTTTAATGATTCAGTAACCTATCCCATGCCTGATTATCTCGTTAAGCGATTGCAGCGTTAGCAATTTGCTGCTGCAAGTTTTGTAAACAAACGCTATGTCTCGCAGATTTCTGATATTCTTAAACTAGGCTGGCTCCCAATTGAGAGGCGTAAAGAGTTTCATTTGAGTAAGCTAGTATTTAAGGCATTACATTCTAGTCATTTTTGCCGTATTTTGCGAATAATTTTCAAGGTTTTTGCTTCACAAAGTGCCTATTCTTGAAGAAGGATCTCACAAATATTCGTCTCAAATCGGAGCGTTTTGAAAATAAAAAACGAAAAGTATAAATTCGTTCAATCGACCACAGATTCGACATCAGTAAT